AGATCAAGGCTGGGCAGTCACATAAAATGTGGCTGGTTGTCTCCTCTGCTTCTAAGCAGAGTCTACAATCTATCTCTTCAGAAAGGTCCATTTTGTTGAGATGGTAACGTAGCCCATGGTGACCCGTTGGATATCCCACCAGCAACCTCAACTTTGTTCTGCTGAAAAAGGATATCTTATTGTAACTATAGGGATGAACCAGCTCTTTAGCCTGACGGTTACCTCGACTGTCACGCCAGTAGCGACTTCTCTCAGTTGAAATCCAATTATTGATTATAGACCTAGTTGTAGACCAACTTAATCCACAATAAGGTTCTGGTCCACAGATTTGAGTGGCAGATCCTGCCCGTGCAAGACTGTCGGCAGACTCATGACCATTGATTCCTGTGTGACCAGGCACCAGCATAGCATCACTTTATTATTGCTTGCCAGCTGCTGCAGCGTGTCATAGCAGTCTAATAGAAGCTATGAGAAAAACTTCTAGGAGCTTAATGCTTTCATTTCTAAAGTAAAATACCTGTTTAATTCTTCAGTGTGAACTGCGTTTAACTACATACACATGATTTTATCGCTTCCATCTATAAAATTGTATTCAATTTACATCAAAGTACAAAAATTGCTTGAAATAAATGTGAATTAAGCATTACAAAATTATATATTTTATATTATAAGAGAGTAAAAAGTAAGAAAATGAAACAACAAATACATATTTAAAAGAATCAGTAGAAATTATATTAAATTCACATCAAACTTTTACAAACATACTTCAAATAACTCAGCTGTACTCTAATTTAATAACTAATTGACCTGAAAAATCTATCTTCAATTAGCATTACACTAAAGTCATACCTGTATAAATGCACGAATATTTTCTAGAAGAGATAAATTAAACTGCATTCCCTTATTAAATCATTTTAAAATTAAAATATATATTTTCCTAAATACATAAATAACTTTTCGAAAATATACATTTTAAACCTTATTAGTTGCTTTACAGATACAGGTTGAATTTTGAGCTCCTATCGACGCCTTTTCCCCATTAATACTACATAAAATTTTGTATCCATTCATCGTTAGCTTGCGTGAAATAAATCTGTAAAGTGCACATCTACTAAATTTACATTATGCAATAGGAAATTCATCGTTATTATTTGGAGCACAAATACTACGAAATCTATTTCAGTTTAATCCTCTTAACTTTTATGATTCATTTGGCGCCGCTGCTGTCTATAAAAGTGCAATTTTAAAATGAGGAAGAGCAAACAATAAAAAGTGCCACTCTTGTTCAACTTGATAAACTCTGTATACGCTAAATTCGTAAGATTTCCTTTTTAATTTGCACAGAACTATTTCAATTGAAAAGTACTTAGCGTTTAAGAAGATTAAGCAACTTAAGCCATTGAAAAACAAAAAACAATCTCAACTCAAAAATAATTTATAGTAATTGGTAAAAGCTGAAATGTTTGCATATGTATACTTGCACACAAATAGATACTTGTACTTTGCATAGTACATTATGTTAAACTGAATAACACATCTTTATCAGCAATTAGTAATGTGGCAATAGTAAGTTTTATCTGTTAATCTGAAGTGATGATTTCAATTGACCTTTAACGCTTTCCTAAATGATTGCAGTCAAATGTAATGAGATGAGAAAGCTATTAAAATTATTTAATTTGAATAAGTTAGGTTAGGTTCAGAAGGCGCATGCTGACAGTTGTCAGCACTTCCACTCAGAGACATATATTGCCCATTGCGATGCTCTCAAAAATTTGGGCAGGAGCGGTGAGTTGCAAACCTTTGTTATTCTTGCTAAACCATTTGGTTTTCCAGATGAAGTTGAAGATATCCGATAAGTTTGCT